ACACGCCAAATTATCTCATGGCATGACGGTAGGCGTGGACCCGCGTTAAGATATGGGGTAAGATTTTTTTTTTTCAAGAAAAAAATGATGTTAAAATATTATGTAAAAAAATAATCCTGCAAAAAAATTTAAATTAATTTATCAAATTTAAAATTTAGATTATAAATTTAAAATAATCTGATAAAAAATAAAAAAATTAATATTAAATAATAAAATAAAAAACAAGTAAAAAAACGATATCAACAATCGTTATCTTTTTAAACCCATTATCTTGATCATTAGACTATTAGTGTTTTATCTGAAAAACCACAATGTTTAATTTTTTACCAATCAAATATTGAAAGATATGGGGCAAGATTTTTTTTTTTAAAGAAAGAAAATGATGATAAAAAATTATTTAAAAAATAACCCTATAAAAAAATTAATTTAATTTGAATTAATTTATCAAATTTAAAATTTAAATTATGAAATTAGAATAATCTGATAAAAAATAAAAAAAATAATATTAAATAATAAAATAAAAAACAAGTAAAAAAACGATATCAACAATCGTTATCTTTTTAAACCCATTATCCTGATCATTAGATTATTAGTGTTTTATCTGAAAAACCACAATGTTTAATTTTTTACCAATCAAATGTTGAAAGATATGGGGCAAGATTTTTTTTTTTAAAGAAAGAAAATGATGATAAAAAATTATTTAAAAAAATAACCCTATAAAAAAATTAATTTAATTTGAATTAATTTATCAAATTTAAAATTTAAATTATAAAATTAGAATAATTTGATAAAAAATAAAAAATTATTTAGAAATATAATATTAAATGATGAAATAAAAAATAAGTAAAAAAATGATATCAACAATAGTTACCTTTTTAAACTCGTTATTCCGGTCATTAGACTATAAATATCCTATCTAAAAAACCACAATGTTCAATTCTCTACCAATTAAATGTTGAAAGATAAAATTAAAATTAAAAATTTAATTATACTAAAGGATCCAAAATAATAATAATAAAATAATTAAATGATGAGGATCAAAATTGAAATAAAAATAAATTAGATGATGATTATAATTTTTTTATTAAATGATGAAATTGAAAAGAACAGTTAATTTAAAAAAAGGATAAAATAATCAAATAAATGATGACCAAATTGAAAAGAAAAACAATAACATGCACAAATTGGAATTGAAATGTGCAATTGAAAACAAATTTGAACTTTATTAAAAAAATGAGAACAAAATGAATAAGGATAGAATTTAAAATATTAATAAATAAGAGCAAAAGTCTTAATTTTTACAAGATAACGCAATTTTTTGAAGTAGGTGAGAGAAGTGGGAGAAAAAGAAAAAACCACTGGCATCGCACTACCACCCCAACTCTCTCACATATTGCTCTGCTAGGAATATATCAGAGGGTGCTCCCCGTAATACAATGAAAAGGAAATTTTGAATGTTGGGAGACGCCGCATGTACTATTTAAAAGATGCGGGCACCTTCCATACTTTGATATGTGCTTTGCATATACCAACTAATTTTTATATATATTTAATATTTATTTAAATACTAAGTTGTCCATAAGTTAATTTGATTATAAAAAAAAACTAGTGTGAAAATATAAAAAAGCCCCTGGACACTAGTTTTAAAATTTTTGTTTCAAAGGTATTTTAGTACTTTCATTGTGCCTCTGAGATGTGAAGAAAAAAAAATAACTATATTGATCGATTTGGTAATGACTAATAAACCAGTTGATAAATTAAATGTTCAATGTTTTATGTATCACAATTATAGACACAATAAATCTGAATGTCATACTAATTTAAATAGTAATGGTAATAGAAAATTTTAATTTTGTAAAGAAGAAAGATAAAAATTCTTTATTGATGGCTTGTCATATGAATAAGAAAAATAATCAAGTTTTATGGTATATAGACATTGGATGTAATAATCACATAAGTAGAGATAAAACCAGTCTTCTTTGATTTAGATAAGTCTTATCAAGTTTTTATGAAGTTTGATGACGAGTCTAAAGTTTATGTTATAGGAAAAGGAATGGTAGCGGTCCAAACTAAGAAGAATGTTGTCCATACTATTTGTGATGTTTTATTTGTTCTAGAATTAAAAATAGATTTTCTTAACATTGACTAGCTTCAAGAAATAGAGGTATACAATTTATATATATATAAAAAAAAAGTATGTAGAATTGAATATGACAAATTGAGTTTAATTGATAAAGTTAACATGACACATAATTGATTGTTTCTTGTATATCTTTAAAATATTATCCATTCATACTTTTTGATGAGATTAAAAGAGAAAAAATGGTTATGAGATTTTCACTATAAACATCTTAATTTTGGTTGATTGAAAATTCTATATCAAAAGAATATGGTGATGGGTTCTCATAAAATTCTCACTCCTCAAATTTATGAAGAATGTATTGTTAGCAAACAACATTAAAATCAATTTCCACGAGAAAATGGTGGAGAGAAAGGAAGCTATTAAAGTCAATTCATTCCAATATCTATAGACCAATAACTTCATGTTCTAATGGAATGTAATCACTTTCTTTATGGTTATAATTGAAAAAGAAATATGAAGTTTTTGAAGTCTTTAAGAGGTGTGAAACACTTTTAAGAGTGAAGTTAACCTACCAATAAAAGTTCTTCGAATGGATCATGGTAGAGAATACAAATTACATAAATTTACAAATTTTTATGAGAGCAATGCAATTAAAAGGCAACTTATCGCAACTTATATGCCTTTTCAAAATGAATTTTGTGAAAAGAAAAATGAGTGATCTACCACATAATTTTTGGCATGCATAACTTGAATAAAAGTCTTATATTTGTCATTCAAGATAAGACACCAAATAAAGTCTGGAGCAGACAAAGATCGACGGTTGATCTTCTCGGAATATATAAATGCATTATTTATGCTCATATTTAAGATGTTTTTCTATATTTGAACTCATGTCATCATGTTTGATTTTGTTTGAAAACACACATTAAAAAAAGGGTGTTATTTAAAACTTATAAGCCATCAAAGTCTCTTACTCTTAATTGATATGAGATATTAATATTATTATAATCCTCTTAGCGAGGAGAATTGGGAATATAACTCGTGCTTTTATTTATGATGTTAATGACGATACTGGCTCAAATCTGCTACATGGTTAGCTCATCAAAATATATTATTTTATATTTAGATTTATAGTTTGTGGTAAATTTTGTTATAAAAACGAGTGTTTTGTGAAAATAGAAAGTATATGTAACTTATAAATAGTAAATTCCTCCCCTTTTGACTTATGTGAAATATTAGCATCATCATAATTCTCTTCTAGCAAGGAGGTTTAGAAGCTGAGAACAAGTAGCTTATATTTCTAGTAACAACTAGAATAATAATACAATAATGATGTAGATCCAAATCCATTACATGATTGACTTTAAAGAGATATTGTCTCCTGTTTAATTTTATGGTCTTGTAATGTAATGACTTTTGTCTTAAAAACATAATTTTGAGAACTACTTGATATCTATAAGATTGGAAAATATATAACTTCTAATCAATACTTGATATTGATATTATCAAGTTGTATCATTTCATTGGCTTATGATTTTATTGTCATCTACATTTTTGTTTTATTTATGAAAATAGTATTATTAGTTTTAAATCATATCAAAACCACCAACTAACATTATTCTATTTTTTTTTTTAAATGGAGAGAATCAGCCCCTAGACCGTCCATCTCAATCATGTGCGTGTGATACTTTTATATACTCAAAACATGTTCCCGTATGTTTTATGCATGGTGATTGAAATTAAATAATCTCGTTTTCAAAGAAAATTGAAACGGAATATATTTTACGCACTAACCTGCACAAATGGCCAGTAAATTGATTCTGAAACGGTCAGACCCACCCCGCATATCTGTATAAGATCCACTAACATCCCACCTCAGTACTCATAAATGGACATCCAAAAGACAAACAATTATTCATTGATAATGAAATTTGATTTTTATTATATGGTCGCGAATGAAAATGGAGACGGGTGGGAAAAAACATGGGGGACACGTGTGATGGACGGCATGTGCGCTCTATCATCCTCTTCAACCATCATGGGTCCCACATGGGAGTTGCCAGAGAATGGATGTTGAAACTGAAAGCTGCATTGTTTTGCTGCTCCTATGTTTCTTGGAGGTTACTGTTTTGACGCTAATACCCCCTTTTTGCTAACTCTGTTTTGTTTTTGCAGCTAAATTGTTTTTTAAAGAATTTTTTAATTGTTTTTATTTTATTGTGTAGTTAAAAAAATAAATTATTAAAAATTAAAATATATATTATTTTAATGAATTTTTAAATAAAAAATATTTTAACAAATATAATATAATTATATTAAGAATCACAATATAACGAATTTGGTATCATATACTTTTTTTTTTAACGATGATTTTATTTAATTATTTTAACATTCAAGAAAAACTTTTTATACGTTGGGTTAAATTCCTTTTGAAATCAAATTAAATATGACAGCGTTTAACCTCATAAAATATTAAGTTGCTATCAGAATTTAATAAATATTTTTAATGTATTTTTATTTTGTTTAAATTTAAATGTTTTATAATGTTTTGAATTATTTTGGTATAGTGATGTTAAAAATAAATTTTATAAAATAAAAAATAATATTTTTAAATAAAAAATATTTTAAAAAATAATCTTTACCATCTTACTAGCAGTCGATTTATGTGTGTATATATACGAACTTCCACCAATTCTACTTAAATTATCAATACTATGCATATTCTTATTCTCAACAGGGAGATATTTTAGATTTTGATTGCGAGAAATTGCCACGGCATTGGTTTAAATGCATAATGAAAGATAAAATGTTCAGAGCGTTGAGCATACCTCCAAATCTACTACTTTAAAAAAGAAGAAGAAGACACCCTCCATTACTACGACAACTGCCAGCTGGAGCTCGTTAAATTGCTATTCCCTTCACCCTCCGTCGTCTCAAAAAAAGGAAGTGTCCTTTCTAGTAATATAAAATTCTCAACGAGGGCATTTCTGTACTTCAACCCAACTCCTCTCCTACTACCTAGCTAGCTAGCCTGGCGTGCTTGTGTGGTGTGTCTGCGGGCACTCAATACTCACAACCTCACAAGACAAACAACACCGTTACTGTGAGCGATTGAAACATTGACACACACAGACAATCTCTTCTTTCTCAGAAGAGGCCAAAAACTCGTTCAGAGGAAGAAGAAAGAAGCTCCTCTTTCTTCTCTTTTCCGCAAAGCAATGCCTGTGATCCCCGGAATTCAATGCTTTCTTTCTTCTTCTCACTGATTTTCACATTTCACGAAAAGAACTAGCATTTGCATGGAGAGGAAGGTGAGTTTTTCCACAAGCATTTTTTATTTTGTTTTTTTATGATAGTGTTTCTTCAAAGGCAAGATTTCAGTTTTTTGCAATGCGATTTTGAAGCCTTTTGTTTTCTCTTGCAGGCTTTGAATTCCCGGTGAAGTTTTTCTCTTTATTTGCGAAAAATTAGAAGAAGAAAAGAGAGAGTTCGAAAAAAGGTGGGTCAATGGAGATTTGAACATTCTTTTTTTAAAAAAAGAAGAAGAAGAAGAAGAAATTGATGTGTTATTGAATTTTTATTTATTTATTTCAGCTTTTATTTCTTTTTTACTTACTTTGAAAAGTGATTCAAGAAGCTTAATGTATAATAATGCTTTTTTTTTCTCTCTCTGCTTTATCTTTATTTATTTATTTATGTATTTATCTTTGCTGTTTTTGCTTAATTTTGTGGCGGTTGAAACGGTCAGTTACACCGTTACACTCAGCTTTTAAAGATCTTGAACGGTCATGCTGTTTGTTTCTAAAATTGAAGATCTAGTAAACAAGTCTAGTATTTGATCTTGATCTGGCTCGAAACCAGATACTCTCTGCATAAGAATTCTTTGAAGTTGAAGTAAGCGTTATATAAAGTGATGCAAGCGAAAAAAATTACTGCAATATTGAAGAAGTTGGCTTACAAAAGGTGAAATGAATTGATAATGCTTTTAGTTTCTCGACATTGACTGCATTTTTCTAAGAAATTTTTTATTTGAAAGCTCACCTATTTATGCTTTGGTTTTGTAATTTTGGCATGTTAGTCAGGCAGCTTCAATTTGGTATAAAACTTGAGATTGTAAAAAACAAAAAAGAAGCTGATTAATGTGACTCTTTGTACGAGCACGATTAGATTTGGGGTGGTTGAAGAAAGATTTAAATTTGAAAAAAAAATGGGGTTGAAAGAAAAAACTTTGGTTGCTTCAATTTGGCAATGATGGCGTTGAGAAAATGCAGTCAAGTAATTTCAATTTGGTAAACAGTTTTGAGTAATGTAGCTGAAGATTTAAAGAAATATATTTGGAGTGGTGATAGTTAATTTTTTCTACAGGTAAGGTAAGATTTAGGTTGCCTGAGTGGTGAAAATGGCAACGTGGGAGCATCTTGGGGAGGTGGCAAATGTGGTCCAGCTGACGGGCATTGATGCAGTGCGGTTAATAGCCATGATAGGTAAAGCTGCAACTACAGCACGGATGCACAAGAAGAATTGCCGGCAGTTTGCACAGCATTTGAAGTTGATTGGGAACTTGTTGGAGCAGTTGAAGATCTCGGAGCTTAAGAGGTATCCCGAAACGCGGGAACCATTGGAGCAGCTTGAAGATGCTTTGAGAAGAAGTTATCTTTTGGTCAATAGTTGTCAGGATAGGAGCTATCTTTACTTGCTTGCAATGGGGTGGAACATTGTGTATCAATTTAGAAAGGCACAGAATGAGATTGATCGGTACTTGCGGCTTGTTCCTCTCATTACTCTTGTGGATAATTCTCGAGTCCGGGTATCATTTATTGTTCTTATTCTTTTTTTTTTTTGCTGCCGTGTTCCTTATTGCTGTGATATCTGTAACTGTCTCCATCTTTTGTTGCTTTGATTATATATGTCTGGCTTGCCTCCTCCTCATTCCTCAAACTCCTTGGTTATTTATTGACATCTAGCCTCTAATGATGGGAGAATGAATTCATGAAACTTGCTTATTCCTTTTCTATCATGCTTGCTTGTGAGCACTAGATTTACAGCTCTGTTAATCAATGGACCTATTTATCTGTCTTCTTCCCAGTGCATGTATTTTTGGTTCACTGTACATTGTATCGCTAAAACACGAGTCATTATCTTGTTGCAAGTGGTGGGAATTTTGGATTATTGAAATGGCTTCAAAATTTGGAAATCTGTTACATAGAGATGGAAATTTGAAATTAAATTCACAGTCTGTGCTGGTGTTTTCTGGTAAGCTAACCTGCAGTGAGTATTTTATGCATTTTCTGTGGGTATCCATGTTTCTGTTTGGGAATGATTGAGGGAATGAGGATTGGATTTCCACAAAATGGTTCCACTTGTAGGGCGAGGGAGTCTTTGAGTTGAAAATGCAAGAACTTCCTTGTTGAAACTTGGTTGGCATGTAGTTTTCCTGTCTGGCTCTATTTTGAATGGTCCAAACAACACCTTCCCATGCACCCAATCACATGCACACTGAACAAAAACTCTCTGTCTCCCTCACAAACACACTCACAAAAAAAAAAAAAGCAACTGCATTTATTCTTGCTTCCCCAGCAATTTATGATAATCCACTCTGTCTCATATCCATAAAGGAATGGGTTAATATTTCATGTTCCTTTATAAAATATGCTATAACCACAAAAGCTCTACTAAGGAGATTTTTTTTTCACTTGTATGCAGGAGAGACTGGAAGATATTGAAAGGGATCAACGTGAGTACACATTAGATGAAGAGGACAGAAAGGTGCAAGATGTTATCCTGAAACCAGATTGCTCAGGAGAACACACCACGATGTTGAAAAAGACTCTCTCTTGTTCCTATCCAAACATGTGTTTTAATGAAGCACTAAGAAAGGAAAATGAGAAGCTTCAGCTTGAACTACAAAGATCGCAAGCACATTTGGATGTGAACCAATGTGAAGTAATTCAGCATTTGATTGAGGTCACAGAAGTTGCTGCTGCAACTTCTCTTCCGGAGAAGAGTTCATCAACAAAAAGTTCTAAGAAACTGGAGCCTACATATTCAGATGTTAGTGAGAACAAACATTCATTTGATGACAATTATAGTACAAAAAGTGATTCTCACAAAACTTCAAGGTTAGATATCCTTAAAAATTTATGTTTTCGGAGTTTCGATGAAATTGTTGTTTGTAAACAGTCATGCATTAATGTGTGGTCCCAACCTCTATTCATAAACCAAAAACATAATCTAAGCACATTGAGTTGGTTTTTGTTTGGACTTTTCATTTGCAAAAGGCTGATTTGGTTTGAATTGATATTTAAGATAGTTCCATTGCAACAAGCTTTGCACGTTTTTGGTAAAGAGCTTTGCTTATGTTGGTTTAATAGAAGGGATTCAATTTGATTGCAACATTATAAATTAATACCATAAATATGTACTGAAATTTATATCAATTTTCAAAACTGTCACCAGGTGTGGTTTTTCCAAGAAAACTGAATTCTCTTAAATTCTATAAAGTCCTGAAAGATTGACACTAATAAGTTGGAAATGCCAGAAAGGAATATGGTTCCAATTTTTCTTTTCCTTTTTTCTTTATATGCATCTCCCTTCGTGCCATGGTATTTCAATGGTCATTGTTTGAGTGCTATATGAAATATATAACCTTCACAATTTCTGTAAACCAAGGGTAGTTCAAAGAGTTTGATGGCAATGACGTACTTTTTTATGCAGAAACACTTCCTCAGTTTCATCAAGAGATGATCTGCTGTCAAGTAGAGGTTCACATCATCATGAAGAATGGCATGCAGATTTACTCGGTTGTTGTTCAGAGCCGTATCTGTGTATGTCTTATGAGGCATTCTGTTTTCTTTTGTTCTCTGCTAGTGAGTTTTATGCAGTAGTGAATCAATGATATATTACCTTTTTTCACCTATTCAGTTTGGATGTACTATGTTCCTCATGCTGTCTATCCCTCTCTTACATTTCATATTCATATCAATGCAGACCAACAATTCTGCGCTAGAAAAACCAATCTCTTTATTGTATTTTTACTTTCCTTATGCATGATAATATAAATTGCAACTAACTTCTTGTTTATTTAATTTTCATTCCTGTTTGCTGCAATGTTATATTAAAATCTCTTCCTTTCCTACACGAGTGATCACCAAAAATGAAGATTTAAATTGTGATTGTTGTTGATGGAAAAAACTGGTTTTGGTTTCACAAACTGTTAACTATTCAAGACATGTAATAAATTTTCAAGTGTCATTCATGTTTTGGGACATCTTATCCCATGTGTCTAGGTTGCATCTCAAATCTTTCAATTTTACTTATTCAATTCTTCTGGACTTCATGTACTCTTGTACTTTTGCTGAAGTCGTCTCAAGGAAATAATTGTCAAAAAATGACTGAGCTTGATAACAACAAAAGGACCTAGCAAATCTTTTACTTACAAGAATCCTTTTCAATTTCAGGTATAAAGACTTTATTCTATCCTTGTGGTACATTTGCAAAGATTGCTACTGTGGCAAAGAACAGGCATATATGTAAGTGGCTTTAATTTTTTAGTCAGGATCCTGTTACATTTGCCAAGTTGTATTAGTCACGACCATAGGTTTACTAAGCTATTTTTGCAATGGTTTGGAGAAACACAAAGGATGGCCAATCAAGGGATTTGAGGGGAAAGAGAGTTGGTTTTCCCTTCTCTCTTCTAATGCTGGAGGGTTCTGCATAACTTCCACATGTTAATTTACTCCGTAGAGTTGTTGTGAACAAAAATCCCAAGTGTTTTCAGAACTTTTGCTTCCAACACAACTGTAGGGGGAGTTTAGAAAGAGTCAAAGACCATATATGGGAGCTAATGCTCTTGATGTTGATTTTGTATCCCATATACTTTATGTGACAATTGGTTTTAAGGGAAGAAAATATTGTCCCAATATTACAAAGTAGCTTTTGGACTTGCAGACATAAGGTATATTACAAAGTAGCTCAGGTATTAGATTTAAATAGCTTGATGAAATACAGGCTTTGAATGTCAGATTTGAAATGTTTTCCTTGTCTTCTATCAACTTCAATTGCAAAAACTATTGGAAACTTGAAATTCTAAATCATTCTTTTGAAAGTGTTTTGAAGCTTCTCTGGTAATTTTATTTTCATGATCATCAGCCTCAGCGGAAGCTTGTAATGAATTGATGGCATATTCAATGATGTTGTCGTGTTGTTGCTATACTTGCTGCGTTAGAAGGGAGCTTCGCAAAACATTGAATATCACGGTAATTCCTACCTTCCTGCTGCATGGTTATGATATTTTTTTTTCTTTGGGTATCCCATAGTTTACAGAAACATGCACATTGGATGGTGAACATCTCTAGTATTTGTGTGTATATCGTGTAATAATAGAGTGAAATACAATGCCTTTGTCCAGAATTCTAAATGCAGTTGCTGGCATTGAGCATATTTTGTAAGGTGATGCTGATATTAAATGGTTCTAAACTGTCCAATTGAAAGTTTATTAAGCCATCACATAACCCTGAAATCATCTGCATAAATGTAAAAGTAATACGCTAATCCATTGACAACCAATGTTTTATGCTATAATTTTCTATTTGTGAGTATCTCCTGTTGTTCCTACTTCCTAGCCAGTCTTCATCTTGAAAATATAGATCTGTTTTCCTCAAGAGTTGCCCCTCACTCCTACCAACTTCTTTGGCAGGGAGGGTTTATTGACGATTTCCTGTCGCATTTGATGTGTTGTTGCTGTGCCCTTGTGCAAGAATGGCGAGAAGTGGAGATTCGTGGGGTTTATGGCATGTATTCTTGGAATCTCTCTTGTTAAACCTGAATTAATAAGATGTGGACTGGTCTTGTGCAATTGTGCTTATGGTGCTTGTCATAAAATCTACTTTTGCAGGTCCCGAGAAGACAAAAACAAGCCCGCCTCCGTCTCAGTTCATGGAATCTTAAGAGATAAGCCGAAAGATTTATTGAGTTGGTGGTTGCGTGTTATATAGGCAATGGGCCATTGCCGCTGCTTTATGCATGAACTTGTAAGGGATCGCGTTGTGCCATGAGTGTTATCCAATATGTTGAGTCACCTATATATGTAAAGTTCAATATCCACTCGTGATGTGCCATAAGCTATATATTTTAATTGATATATAGTTTTATTTCTGTTAATTAGTGGGCTCAGTCTGTTTTATTTCAGTAACGATTGAATGTATATTTTTCTCATATTATTTTTAGTAGGGGTGAACTCAAAAGGATGTCTTTTTAGACCCAATTAAATGCCTATTTAGAAGTGTTGTTGTGATAATTTGAGTTCCAAAATGTCTTTTATAGAAATATATTAAATTATGTTTTTTTAATTTCTTAAAAATATTTTTAATACTATCATATTTAAATTAAATGATAAAAAAATAAAAATAATTAATGTTAAATAAAAATAAAAATAAATTTTAAGGGAGCAGTATTTAGGCCGCCGTGAAATTGCATTGCTAGCTCAAGGAATATTTGAGCAAAAATCGATCATGGATCTCAACAGCGTGTTAAATAGTCTAATTATTAGCGGCTAGCCAGCAAATGCGGAGTGTTAGAAGGGACGTTTACATGGCCCAAACTTTGTTACGGGTTGTATCAATAATTTTTTATGGAAAAAAAAGTAATCTATTACATGGCCCAAACTTTGTTATGGGTTGTATCAGTAATTTTTTATGGAAAAAAAAGTAATTTATAGGCCATGTTTGTTTTCTGAAAAATAGTTTTCGTGAAATCACTTTCCAAACTTTCCTGTGTTTGTTTGTCATTAGAAAAATTGGTCAACGAGAAAC